GTTTAAAAAGAATACAATGTTAAGATAGAACTTTCTGCACAGGATCCAACAACTAAAGGCTAATACTGAAATTTTTATATTTTTAAAATTGAATAGTACTGTACGTATTATTGCTTTACGAGGTCCATGGATGATTAGCTTCTTTCAAAACTAGATAGGCTACCTAAATAAATTCAGTGAAATAAAAATAAGAATCACCATCAAATGAAATCAAATGGTAAACAGTTGCTTAAATATTGACAAATGATTTTAAGAATTATATCAAATCACAAATATTAAAATTAGTATTCCAGGAATCCGAACTGCTGATTTTTTTTAGGGGTCTAAAGCTCTCTGGATCCAACCAGTCCCCTTGGCAGAGACTTGTTTTGCTGGCTCTACTACTATCAGTGGCATATCTAGGGGTGCGTACGGGATACACCCCCACAGTCACCCCCCCCCCCCAAAAAAAAAAAATCACTTGCAATTTATTTTGCGAGTTACTGCCCCTGACCGTCAAGCCCCCTTCCCCTTCGCACCCCCCATCAGCACACCCATTTTAAGACTTTTATATTGTATGCCACTGACTTCTATAGGCTCCATCAATAGTAACACTGCCTACTGTACTGTATATTGGTGGTACTAATAATAGACACAGTCTTTGTCAGTCACAGGCATTTGATTGAAACAGTACAGGTGTGGCAAAAGCGTGTCAGCAAACACTAAGTAGATATGTAGACAAACTTAATTGTTGTCAAACAATGACAAATGGTACATTTTGACAGCTCAACATTAAATTAGTGCTGTGGCCGTAAGTAGATGTTGCATTACGTCAACATTCACCGAAGGAATGAAAAAGAGAGATTTAAGTTTGGTAATAATATAAGCAAGCTAAATCTAACCAATTGATGAGTAACTGTCGTTTATGAAGATGAAAATACTTGTATGAAAAACTTGCATTCTAGAAATTATCCTGTAAAATATTACCAAGAATAATTGAGGCTTGCTTTCCTTAAACTAGAATCAGTGACCAAGAAATACAGTGAATCAACTTACTACTTGCCAAAGTTATGAGTAAATGTATTACAGCTTCTCTGTAAAAGTACTGTATGCAATACTGTCGCATTCTTATGAATATTACTCAGTTTAACAATGGCAAGCCTTAATTAGTTTAATTTTTGGTATAATAATAATGGAGAAATTTAATAATAATAATAATAATAATAATAATAATAATAAAGGTTGCATCTAAAACTTTTCTGAGCACAATTACCTAGGTGTATGCTAAACCTAGAGCCCTGAAATGATTTTCAAGTCTCGTAATGACTGATAAACATACAGTAAGCCAGAATAAGGTCAACATTTGTATACCATCATACAAATACTCAACTACAGTACAAGAAGTTTTCACATATATACAATGTACCATTGGATTTGCTCAAAATGTTGGCAGCAATTATTAATTGATGACACCTATCCACTAAATTGTAACTTACATGATTTAAAGCATGCCAAGCAACATAGAGTACTGTATCCATCCCATTAACTACAATTAATTCACAGCTTGTCGCCAGTATTCTCCCTGATGATTTCAATAAAGGGGCTGTCAGACAACCCACCTTTTTCGTCTGATCAGTCACGTGATCTGTATGAGGTACTCTGCTTTGTTATTGTTTTGACTGTGAGTTATTAAACTGCAAAAAGCTCAGCAACAAATTTTTTTGCTGAATGAGTCTGTTGTAAACAAAACTATAATTGCTGTTTCTGTATTTTTTGATGAGAAATTTCTTTACCAAATCACTAACAAATGTTTCTATATTTGTCATAAGAATATAGTCTGCATTTTTTTTTGTGGTTCAAAGTAGGATTGTGGATTGTACAAAAACCTCCTTGGCAGAACTAATCCCTAGGCCTTCGCTGGTCTAGCATTGCACAAGGATATGATTTCAAGTTTAAAATCACAGCTTAAAATCTTAAGGGCCCCAATGGAAATAAGTTTTATATATTGTAAAACTTTCTTGGGTTACCCAAGGAATTAATGTCTTAATAATAATAATAATAATAATAAAGGTTGTATCTAAAACTTTTCTGAGCACAATTACCTAGGTGTATGCTAAACCTAGAGCCCTAAAATGATTTTCAAGTCTCGTAATGACTGATAAACATACAGTAAGCCAGAATAAGGTCAACATTTGTATACCATCATACAAATACTCAACTACAGTACAAGAAGTTTTCATATATATACAATGTACCATTGGATTTGCTCAAAATGTTGGCAGCAATTATTAATTGATGACACCCATCCACTAAATTGTAACTTACATGATTTAAAGCATGCCAAGCAACATAGAGTACTGTATCCATCCCATTAACTACAATTAATTCACAGCTTGTCGCCAGTATTCTCCCTGATGATTTCAATAAAGGGGCTGTCAGACAACCCACCTTTTTCGTCTGATCAGTCACGTGATCTGTATGAGGTACTCTGCTTTGTTATTGTTTTGACTGTGAGTTATTAAACTGCAAAAAGCTCGGCAACAAATTTTTTTGCTGAATGAGTCTGTTGTAAACAAAACTATAATTGCTGTTTCTGTATTTTTTGATGAGAAATTTCTTTACCAAATCACTAACAAATGTTTCTATATTTGTCATAAGAATACAGTCTGCATTATTTCTATGGTTCAAAGTAGGATTGTGGATTGTACAAAAACCTCATTGGCAGAACTAACCCCTAGGCCTTCGCTGGTCTAGCATTGCACAAGGATATGATTTCAAGTTTAAAATCACAGCTTAAAATCTTAAGGGCCCCAATGGAAATAAGTTTTATATATTGTAAAACTTTCTTGGGTTACCCTAGGAATGTAAATGGAGTCTGACCACAATTTACAGAAAGTTACAGTACAGCTTCGCTATTTGGTACGTTTTGATTTAATACCTCATACGGATGACGTCACTACCCCAAAGTAACCAAGCAAAAAAAGTCAATTCTTGAAAACCTTCACTCATTGGATCTAAATACAGTACCACATTTTATTTCACTGCATCTCAAATAAAATCAAACAAGGTTGTAGCAGTACTATTGATGACAGCAAAAGTTTTAATTAGAAGCATTTAGTTTATCTAGTGAAAGTTTCTACTAAAAAATTAAGCTAGACATGACAAATGGAACATTCTCAACTGAATTCTGAAGGAAACTGCTTTGGCTGTAAGTTATTGCTTGAAAAAAGGGTAGAAATATCCAATCATGTTTTTAACAGAACATCAAAGACAACATTTAAAGCCTAACATTCACGGGCAAGTAAAAAATGGAGGAATACATAGACAGACCCCTTTCAGTGTTTACACTGGCCTGGCTAAAATGCTGCCGGTGCACGATCCTGCTAGGCAAAAGAAAGATAAAACTTCATTACACGACACTGCCATTTTAAAGAATTTTTTTTGTCAATTCCTAATATATATAACTATGCCATATATGAATGAAATTCAGAAGCATTTACAGAAATCAACCAATCAAAACAGTCCATATAAAATAGTCAATAGGTCTTTAAAGTGAGTGTGACTAAGTAATAAATTAGTTAACACATTTGCTGCCAGTGACGAATATACTCATCCCACAGGGAGTAGCTGAGGTTGCTAGGTATGACTATAAGCATCAAAGCCTGGGGTAACATTCTATCATTTATTACTTCGATGTTCACTGTAGAACCAAATACATGTAGGTCAGGGAAGATACACCTAGACAATAAAATACCATACCGTACGTTATTAAGTATGTTATTGTGTTCTGTTGCTGGCAGTACAACTTTTTTATTTGAATTTTTGCATCAACACCGCCCTCCCCTTCCCCACCAAAGACCAAAATCAGTCTATGCCCTATTTTGGCACAGACAGAACCTAAAAAAGGTCTGTCTGTAAACAAGTTTAAATTAATGAATAAAACTAATAATGGAACAATATTAACTGATCATGATCAAATGAAAAACTAGGTAAAACAATGATAGATCTTTGGACTGAAAAATCCTCCAAAGAACTATCATCATCATTTACCTAATTTTTAATTTGATCACAATCAGTTATTCATTTCATTGCACCCTTAAGCTTGTTTATTTGTTTAATCAAACTAATTAATTACTTAGTCATGAACACTCAATCTAGAACCCCATTAGCTGGACTGTTTTGATTGGGTAATATCTGTAACACTTCTGGAATAACTGATCTAAATAAAGATCAAAATATTTAATTACAATAACAAGTCTCACTTATTTGGAATATGTTTTATATTAAGTTATCTAATTCTTATCAGTGGACTGCTTTTTGTTACATAATAATAAATATATGAAATTTTGTGTCAAACATTTTACTTTATCATCTTTTCATTTCATATCATATCATTTCATTAAAATCTGATCTTCAGTAACCCAAGTCCATACCTCATTCTAATCTTTAATAAAGCTGGTGAATTTGTTATAAACGAGTCTAAACACATGACATTTAACCAGCAATTTATGTTATTCTTACACTTGTACTTCAACATCAATGTATTGTATACACTATTATTTTATTAAGGTCTGACCTTCAAAAACTTAAATCCATATCCCTGGGGGCCTGTTGTTTTTGTCATTACAAACTATAACACCTAATAAAGGGCTCTTTTTTATGACTCCGCTGACCTTACAACAGACAGATTTTTGACGCTGCAGGTACGTGTTGATATCAGACAACAGAATTTCCCAAATCAAGCTTTATACCTCCAAGCAAAAAACAATAAAAACTAGGCCTTTTAAATTACTGTCACTGTACACAAACACATCAACATAGGTGGTATAAATCAACATAGGTGGTATACATGTTCAAATTTAGTAGTGGTATACCCCTTTAAAAAAAAATTAAAATCTTTTGGCTGGGGACCCAAATTTTAACCTTGGTATTACCAAAGCAACCTCTGTTAAATATATCTCATTCACCAGAAAAACACATTTTTATATTTAAAAAACAAAAGTGCAGGATACCTCTCTGATAAATGTTGAAGAAATCAATTTTAATGGAAATAAATTATATTTTGGGTGGTACAGTAAATACCAACCATATATTTTCAGGTGATGTGTTTACAACCATAGTTCAGTGGTTCTGCTTGCTACAGACTATTTATTTTATGTCTTTGCAATATATTTTCTGAATAGTCTCAAAGACTACTTTGTAGTACACATGTAGAAACTATAAAAACTTTAATGAAACTAAATTTAGAATTGATATACTAAATGCAAATTGGACTGAAATTACAAAGTACACAAATGTCAATGACGCCGTTCGTATTTTGAAGAAAAGTTTTTTAATATTGCTAATATTGAACGTACCTATATTATGTAAAAGAATGAGAAACAAATCTAGTTCATGGCTAACTCAGACCTTTTACAGATTATGAGAGAAAGAGATGCTTCAAAACGAAAAGCCAGTAAGAGAAATGAGCCCCATATGTGGACGGAATATAGAAAATTAAAAAACAAAGTTAAGTCTAAACTTTGAAAATTGCCAAATACAAAAGACCCAAAAAAGATTTTGGATTTACCAGGTAAAAATAAAAATGTAAATATAAATAGTATTAAAACTACTAACACTGACAAAACAAATCCAAAACATTTTATTCTTAATTATACTAACGCTACTAATAATATGACTAATGATAATGATGACAAAATTATATTTGACAATGTTGACATGTAGGTTATGTACATACACTATTAAACTCGCTTTCATCAAGTAAAGGTCACTGGAACTGATGAAATACCAGCTAGACTTTATATTAAAATTGTCATTGATATAATATCAATAATAAAATTTGTAATTTTTTGGACCAAAAACGTATGCTATATGAAAATCAATCTGGCTTTATGATACTCAACATCCACTGCATTTTTGATCATCACAAAAAACTGGAGATGCAACTAGGTTACTATATAGGACTCCCCTGAAAATCTGCCATGCTGAGTGGGACTCCCTTTTTAAATTAATAAAGAAAAAAAGAAAGTATTGATTGGCTTGAAAAAGGCATTTGATACTGTAACCCATAAACTAATCAATACACTTTAAAATATTTCAATTTTCAAAAAAGTGGTTTTATAACTACCTTCAAAACCGTGTTCATATAACTAAAGTAAATGGAGAAAATTCTGATGAATGTCATAGATCATTTAGGATCCCACAGGGGTCTATACTAGAAACTCCTGCTTTTCCTTCTCTGTGTAATGATCTGCCTACAGCTGTCCATAAATACACTACTTCTATGTATGCTGATGATACTGCAATATATTATACAGATAAAAATATTGACAACCTTACTTATACAATTAATAATGATTTGGTAACTCAAGCGATGGCTCATAGCAAATAAACTAATTTTAAATATTAAAAAAAACATAGAGCATATAATAGGCACAAGGTAAAAATTAGCTAAATTATCAAATGTTCAGATAAATATTAACATCAGTGGAGAGCCTATTATACTTTTCAGTCAATGTAAAAACTTTGGTGTACTAGATAAGAACCTTTCTTTGTGTCCACAAATAGAGCACGTAAAATCAAAGGCTTTGCAGAGCTTATACTATCTAAAAAAAAAAACCAAGTCAAATTCTTCCCAATGTCGATTGCAAACTATACAAATCACTCATGGCACCACACCTTGAATATTGCCATGTTGTATAGGGATGTACTGTACAAATCAAACACAAAGTAAAACACTCCAAATCCTTCAAAACCATGCAGCTAAAATAATTTTAAACAATCAAAAAGTGTTCTAGCAATCAAGCTCTGCAAAGCCTTAAATTTGATGATTTTAGACCAAAGGTTATATAAATGAAGCCATGACTATGTTTAAGACAATGGATAACCTTGCATCTTTTATTTATCTAACAGGTGTCTTTAAAAATAATTACTATGATATAAGAACTAAACCAGAATTAATACTGCCAAAACCAAAAACTGAATACAAAAAGAGAAGTTTGTCATACAGAGGTGCAAAACTTTGGAATGAAATTAACAATGATGTAAAAACTGTTAAGAAATTGTCTTTTTATTTAAAAAGCATATCCTTGCGACATTGTTAATACACTTAACAGAATTTTTTCTAATAGCACCACTGCGATAGTTTGTAACATAAACTACTGCATTCTTGTTTTGTTTTCCAGTTAATTTGTGTAAAAGTATAATTAAGTTAGTTTCAGATGTAAGTCTTGTTAAGATATTTGGTAATCTAAACAATTGTTTGATTAGTTAATTTTAAGTCATTCATTTCTTTAAAGTTTCTTTTGATTTTCTAGTTATTGTAAATTTGTGTATACACAGCCTTGCAGAAGAACAACTGTTAGTTGAGAAAAGTTTCCGTGTTTTTAAATAAAGCTTATTATTATTATTATTATTATTAATATATTATTATTATTATTATTATTATTATTATTATTATTATTATTATGCCACACACTGAGCAGGGTCCCCAAATCTCTTGTCACGGGGATACCTCCATGGAATTCGGCACCATCTCCTATACCGTAGTCCAGCAATCAAACAAAAGTTTCTCAGAAAGTAACTCATCTCCTCCTACAAACTTTGCTAACTGCATTATTATATTGCCTCCTGAAAGCCAGCTGGTCATGGATTTCACCATGCACAGCAACTTAAAAGAATTGTTACCAAACTAGATCTCTCCAATGTGCTTCTTCCAACAGATTGCATCAATAAAACCTAATGAAGAAATATAATTTGTCCATAAAGGCAGGTCCTCAAAAGGCAAACAATCATTGAGCGCCATGCAACAAAGAAACCATGCGAAGGCTGCGAGAGTTGACATATGCATGAAATGACACGCCTCCAATTATATGTTTGGCTATTCTCAATGTTACGGCAAAAATTGAATGGTGGATTAGAAAAAAAGTTGGCTAGAATTATTTTATTACGAGGGCAAGTCTCCAGCAGGGAGCTTACTTTTGTATTTCTTCTACAGGAAAGCATGTACTTCATTCAACCAATATGTTCTACTGGCAGTAGAATAGTTTAAAATACTTGTCCTAGTTGACCTAAACATATCATTTTGAATTTTGCATAAAATGACAAATCTTCTGTGTTGTAGTGAATTCCATTCATGTATCTAAGTTCACTTAATATGTACAGTATATTAGGAATCTGACAAATGTAACTATAAATCACGATACAAGTATTTGATTTCCATAAAAAATGTTATAGTACATAATTTGAATTTGAATTATATA